TTTAGTGTCAAGCTTTTTATGGTCTAGAAATTAAGGGGCTTTAGTTTTCTTTCATGGTCTTTGTTTAGAGAAAACTGAAGTAAAAAACCTAGACTTTGTAAAGCGATAGCGATAGAAATTGGTTCAGATACTGCACAGATCCCATCATCAGTATTTTATGCCTTTCATGTCAGCCTATGGAGAAGTGAAGAGAGGGCTGAGGAGAGATAAATGAATTGTACATGAATTTGTTCAAATAAATTTTCTAACAGCCTTGCCACCAGCAAAACACAGCATCTTTCTGTCTAGTCTCCCAGCTGTATTCTAACACAAGGCTTTCCCAGGCAGCAACAGCACAGGAAAAGAGCACAAGGGGAAGTCAACTCTTCTGAACTGTCAAAAAAAGAGCCTATGTTGTTGGTTGAGCCAAGTACAAGTAAGACAGAAAATGGCTTAAAAGGTAGTATTAAGACATATATAGAAAATGGAGCTTAAAAGATATTTAGGCCCAGGCTTGGATTTAGCAGAGAAAGTCAGGTACGAATTCAACCTCTGACCCTCAGGCAGCAACTGCCTGTATGCCAAAGCATACCAGAGAAACCAAGTCAGATGAGTAACTTCAGACAAGCATGAAAGTTGTTAGCACCTGCACACAAAGACTCTTCTCTCTCTCCACAGCTCCCTGTGCCCCACATCTGTATCTCCTGTTCAGTCCTGCAAGTCCAACAACAAAGTTCTGGGTGCTCATTGAGATGGTTGTACTTGAGTGGAACACGCTGCAGAGTATCATAATACCCTTCTATGCAAACACCATGAAAGGAAAGATGGCTAGTGCTCTTGAAATACAAGCTTAAATCACAAACGTTTTGCACAGCTTTACCACAGGGCTTAATTAATGCTACTTAACTTTCCTGTTTATGAATGCTAAAAAATGCTGTAGCTAAGAAGCATCTGATTGCTGGCACGTTTAAAAAGGAGAATGAAGCTAAGAAAAGAGAAACAAATTACATAGCACAGTGACATATAGCAAACACCAATACAAAGCTGCTGTACAGAAGTGAGTGGTAAAGTCAGAGCTTGCTCTGGTAGCTTTTGGTAGGACAAGCACAGGAAACATGAACACAGCAGTTTTGCACTTGCCGATGATATCCACCAGAAAGCAACACATTAAAAAATCTTCTTTAAACATTATCTTCTGTAATCCAACACTGCAATTTCAATGTTTATTTAAGATTTTCAAATACTGTGGATGTGGGGTGACACAGAAAAATACATATACAAGTAATGCCCAAGGGGCTTATAATATCAATATCCGCCCAGGCAGGGCAAATAAAACAGATGATTTAAGAATTTAGTATTTTCCTCTTTCCTCAAATATTTCTACTTCCTTTTCCATTTTCAGTCACTCACCTCCTGCACTGAGAAAAGTTTTTGAGTATTAGTGTTTGCATTCCAGCATGTCTTAAAAGTTTCTTAAGCCATGACACTTAAGATGGTTCTGTGATACAGCCTGTACTATTACAACAACTGGTGGAAGAGACAAGAAACAAGGCTTTGTTACAGTAAGTTTTCAAGGTAGTGAATATTTCTCACAGCAGGCACAGCTGAGAAATGGCATTATACAGCTTCATGTGCTGTCCTTGAAGCAGAACAAAAAATACAGAAAGGTAAGAAATTGTAACCAAATTGCAAGGATTTCTTTTCAAAGTCTCTGCCAAGAAGAGGTGGCAGTCAAAGCTCTATTTCAGTTCTCTGAAACAGCACTGTGAACTAGCTGAAAAATTTACCTTTGAGTTCAGGGAGGAGATGATGTCACTCCTAAGCTATTTAGCTGTACCAAAAAGACTGGGCTTTCAGTTTTATTTCCAAGCCAACAATATTTTTTGCACCATTTGAACAAATATTGCTTACAAGACCAGCTATTTTACATAAAGAAAAAAGGCATAGCACTCCTAATAGAGTCTCTGTATATAATGATAATGTTGGGAAAGAAAATGTTTTTCTCCCTTAATGACATGGAAAAGTCAACTACTTTGGCCTAGTCATTAGCTGAGAGGAAATACATCCTATCAAAAACATTGGGAGGTGGATTTGGTCCATGACTGAGAGGTGATTGTGGGTCTTTATACAATGATTCATGTGTAATAATAATAGTGAGCATTTGCACAGTATTTCTATTTACATTTTCAAAAAAGCTAATAAACACTAGTTATTTAATTCACAAAACAGCCATTCAAAAGAAGTGATTATTAAGTAAATGCCTGAAGAACACAACCCAGAGATCTTTTCTTTAACCTTGTCTCATGCTTTAACTTCCATGTACTTCTAACAAAAATCTCTGCTGGAAAATCATTTGGATAATTACTGTGAATTATTGTTTGTGAGTTTATTTTTCTACTTCAGTTGCAAAAGTGAGCCATTTATGAGATAGTCTGTCTTAAACTATCTGAAAAGGTCTTTGCATTCAAACAGCATCAAAGGACAAGCCATGGGTGACCTTGTGAAAGGTGGCTATTCTTCATTCTGAATGCAGTGCTGTCCTAGCTGCCCTGTACTTTTCTGAGCACAGCCAATTAGACACCACGCTAGATCTTATTAACAGCAAAATGAGCTGTTTCTGTTCTGTTTCTCTCTGCTCCCAGCCAGCTAAATAACTTCATATCACCATATTTGAGAAACAAAAAATATTGCCTTTTTTTTTTTTCAAATAACCAACTTGACTAACATCTAATAAAAGCTTAGTTTGACCAACATCAATAGGGCTTGGTTTAGGCAGGAAGGTTGGGGGAAGAGGAGAGGTGTCCTTCTTTGAAATTAATTATGCTACTTTTACAGAAGCTTGCTTTACTGGACAGTAGCTACACCGTGAGATCTATATGTGCTCCTGTGTATCCTGTAGCTCCTGCTTCCGCAAGCCAAGCACCATTCCATTTTCTCAGCTCTCCTCCTTCTCTCTTATTAGCATCAAACTTTCAGGTTTCTGCAAGGAGCTGAAGGTGCCTCCTTCAGCAAGGTGGTACCACACATAAGGCATTATAAAAACAACAATGAACCCTCCCAGACTGCACAATTTATTAACGGACTTCCATATCAGAGGGTCTGAATGGAAGGACTGAGGTGTATTTCCCCAAGGTATAAAAATAGACTAACCAAAACATTTAATCAGCAAAAACGCAGCATTTATATTCCTAGAAGTACAATTCTGCACCTCAGTTTACATGTTTTTGAGATTATCTCAATGACTGTTGTCAAGTAACTGCTAATAATTTTGCTTTAGTCCAGGCTCAGATACAAACACCAGCTCCTGAGCAGTTCCTTACACAGTTTTGTTGGCTTCCACTGGACTAGCTGGGCTGATAAAGGGCTCACAGTTCTACGTTAGCCACCTTAAATCAAAATTCAGACCCAAATGCCTTAGAGGGATGCCATTATTAAACCACAAATACTTTCATTCTCCTGAATGAAAAAAAATACCACTAATTCTTATTAATCTTTGCAAGTACATAATTTCCCTTCTTCAGTGTTTTCTATTGACTTCCCCAACACTTCTTGCAAAACGTCAGTGTTCTTCTTCAATGACAGTATATACTTTGTTACAGTGTTTGATGTCTTACTGTTACAACATTGAATTCATTGTTTTCTAAAAAAGAAACCGTATTGACCTTTAAGAATTAAGTATGACAGACATAAATGTAAACAGTCTCCTGCCATTCTGAAGCAAATGCTAGTTTTCCCCCTTGTCATTTAGGCTGTCTTCAGTTTTCTTTTATGTCAGTGTAATTCTTAGATGTTTTATCCCAAGAGAATGACATTCAGTTAGGCAATCAAGGTGTTTCTGGAACAGACTTTGTTTTTCAGATACAAAACAAGATTAGAAGATCAAATTAACCAACAGATACAAAACAAGATTAGAAGATCAAATTAATCAACAAAATTGATTATACCTAATGAGGAATTAAGTATATGTTCTGTCTCTTTTTTATGCTAATTTTGTCATAAAAAGGATACATTTATCCATTTCTAATCTATAATGCTAACTGATTAGAGATTTATTACTTCAAGCTATTGTTTACTTTTCATCCGCCACACTGCATATTCCTTATGGAGAGAATCTATGCATTTTATACATGATGATCATTTGCCTCTGGAAACTTTAAACCTACCAAGATCATTCAATTTTTCTCATCAGCATTTTTTGGTTTCTGTAATTCTTAAAATTCTGCTAAAAACTCTACCTAAAGCCTACGAAGAATTTCATTTAAAAAAATCAGAATACCATCCCAACCAGAAAAATCATACAGGATTTAGAAGGAATCAATTCATTCTCATATGATGTAAAAAACAGGTACCATGTAATAGGGAATAGTAGTTTTCTACAGATTTTTGTAATCTATTGTTGTTTCACTTTAAATTTTAAAAAAAAACCCCATAGGAATAGGAATAATAGAATTTTCTCTTAATACCTCGGCAAAATATAAACAGGTAAAGTCATATTACTGCCTCAATCGACTCTTACAACAAAAACCTGCCCATCCATATCTCATTAGCTGATGCAAAGATAATTCTAAAAGAAATTCAGTGACAGAAGACCCAGCTTTCTTCCACCAGAACAATTCTTGTGTCTCATTTATTCTAACCTATGCCTTCCCCCAAGGGGTGGCAGCTTCAAAGATTTCTACAGCCAGCCTGTAGCCTCTCTCTCGGGCCCTTCCATTTCTCTAACACAAGAACAATCATCTCAAGGACCCAAAAATTAGGATTCTGACCTTAGGAGGTAAAGCAATCCACTGAAAATCCCCAGCCTAGTGGAGGAAGGCTAAAAACCTGCAGAGCCTTCTCATTTGCCTTCTGGTTTCTCAGGGTATGTATGTATTTTTTCAAATTCCCGTCTGTAACTAAGGGTAGTAGATTTGAAAGAAAATTAAAATCCTGTAATAACAACACTGCATCTATATAAAGATCCTTTACTACCAAATGAGTCAGTGTCTACTCTCATGGAATAATGAGCTTTCACTACATACCTCTGTGGCCTGCTGTGTCAGACGTTAACTGGCTCAGAAGTCAAGAATAAATGAGTGAAGACCACTCTGAGACAAGATGGCAAAATCAATGTAGATGTTCCCAGAAAGCACTGGCTCCATAGCCACCAAAATTCAAATAGGATGTTATGAACTGTTACAAAGGTTATAAAGAAAAAAACACAATTATACCTCAGTATGAATCTATAATGCAACTACAACCATTCAGAAAAAAAATATAACTAGACAGGATAGTAAAAGATTCGCAGAGAAATGCCACCATATTTAAGAGAAATGAGAGATATGGTGTAGTTTATGTGAGAGGGTTTAAAAATACTAGAAAGCCTCTGTTTGCAAAAGAAACATATTTAATACATCTTAACGGATTTGGAAAAAATGAATACAGAATGGTTATTTCTTGATTTTTAAAAATAAAAAAACAGAGAGAGCCCAAAGAAATTATCAGGCCATAAATTTAAGAGACAAGACAAAATATTTTTTGGCACAGGATATTGTTTACTTTTGGATCTCGCAGCCAGATGATGTATGTATCAAACGTATAAATGAAAACATTTTTTGCTAGCTCTCAGCACGACTATTAAACATGGGACCCTAGATCTGACCTCCTCAGTAAATTCCCAGGACACCAAATATTAAAAAGTTGGATGGCACACCAGGGGAAAAAACGTGTTACACTTGTCTGGGTCTTTCTAATATAAAAAGCTGAGGCTGATCGTAGTCATGTGGAGGGTTCAGCTTTGTCCGTCTTCGTACTGGAAAAGACCTGCTGCCCAGGTCTTCATCCAGAAGCCCACTTTTAGGGACTCATCACAAAGTCATCCTGTACTTACCTGGAACTACCGGAGACTCTTCTATAGGATGAGAAAAATAGCAGGGGCTTGACTCTTTATGTGAAACTCTCAGTGGCTGTTGAAAAATTATTTCATAGCAGTGGGAACTCAGGAGAGCACTTCACTGAGCTTCCTTTCTCTTAAAAGTTGAAGATTTTTATCTCTGAATCTAAATCTAGTTTCACAGATTCTGTGCAAACCAGGAAATACTCTATAAAGAATTTAGAATTAGAGCTTTTGGATCTGTGAGGTTTTCAAGACTTAACATCATGAGACTGAAGGACCACTGGACTGATTGCTCAGTGAAGTAAATGGCAAAGATAGACAAGCTTTAAAAAAATATATGTATATAGTGGCACCTTCCCACAGGATTTGGAGCTAGTGCTGGTAATGATTTATAATGATAAAATATATTCTAGATCTATCTAAGAGTATATGATTCCACCATAGACAAAAGATGCATAGTATATACAGCAGAAAAGATTATTTCAGATTCCTGTGATGGGAGGTGATTCGTGGATTAGCTGATTAATTGCATTAGCAAAGTGTCTTGCCAAAAACAAAGCCCGTGGGACACAGAACATTCTGACAGGAAAGAGCTCAGCACAAAGGTGACAACATGCATTGATTAGCATATTAATATGAATTTGTCAGTCACATAAACCTGGAATGCCAGGTTGCACTTCACTTTAAAGAGAGAACAGTTTGCTCTTCTCAAATAAAAAGTGACAGCAGTGAAAAACACAGTTAATTGCTGCAGATTGATGGCAATTGGGGTAAGATGCAACTGGAAAAAGAAAATCTTAAAGCAGAACCTACCATTTTCTGTCCACAGTACCAAACTGCTATTTTCTGACCTTAAGGCTTTGGGCTGCCTGTAAAGAGATGGCAGGAGCTGGACAGTATACAAAAAATACCAGCCTCTACTGTACAGCCTTGAGAAATTTCAATGTGTATTTTCATTCTGAATCAAGACAAAAACATCAGCATAGAGCTTGAGATGAATTTTTTTCCAAGTGGAAATTCTCAGAAGTTTAGATTTAAAAAAAAAAATGTTTTGCTATATTGCACAAAAGAAATTATTTCCCCAGTCTGCAAGTCAAATGCTTTCACTTGAGGTTTGCAGAACTGAGAAGCATCTAGACTCTGTGGTAATGGAGGCTGAATAAAATCCTGTCAGTGAAAGACAGGGGTCTAAACAAAGCTCCTCTGTGTTGGCAGACAAAACTGTAATATTTTCAGGTCTCACTATGGATGCCCAAAAAATGTATCATTATACAAGCGTTAATATAACCACAGACAATACCAGTGTGATTTTCAGTCCTTCCTCCTCTCCGTCCCCCAGCAATTTGGTTCAACTTAATTATCTTCTGTGCTCTCTTTCCAATCTCCTGTTTCCTTGCTTTTTATTGATTTGTCTTTTACCTTTTTGTCCTTCCTTTGGATTTCTTCTCTCCAGTTCTCCATCTTTTTGTTCTGAATAGAAGTTGGTTTTAATGGCTGTCATTGCCTATTGCCCCAATTCCAGACTCCAATTGCCCTTTGCTTTGCCTTCTTAGCATCCCACACACTATCTCTGTAAGAAACAAGAACATGAGGCAAAAACACTGCTTAGCACAGGAAACACTAGTTCATCTTTCTGGCATAAGCAGCTTCATTAGGGCAATGCTAGAATTCAACCAAACTACATATGCCAGCCCAGGATTTTCCTATCTTCATCATCCATACAACAAAATGTGTGCTCTCCAGCAAAAGTGAGGAAGGGTCCTTTCTCCGCCAGATTAATCTGGAAATAAATCCATTAGATAACACCCTGAACACATGAAGTCAGACGCAAGAAACCAGTTTCTTCATTCTACAAATGCTACCTCTACACATATTCCTACCACTATAAATCCTAGTTGACAAAATTAAATTATCTGAACAATTTAGTGAGACAACAAACATTTTATCAACACCCACCATCTGTACTGGTTTTAAAAGAGCAAAAGATTTATAAAAGAGCTTCAATCCCAAGTGCTTGCTACATATATGAGAACAAATTATTTTCAGACAATAGCCTGAAGCAAATATCAGAGATTTAATCAAAAGATTATTTTTTTTTTCTGCCTGCCTCAGGAAAGCTACGGAAGACTCACATTTTCATTTTAAAAATCCCAGATCTCTGAACTCTTTTTATAGTCCTTTTTGTAGCTACTCTTTTATAAAAGCCATTGCACTGGGGAAAGGCAGTTGCCTTTTTTTTTTTTTATAGTAAGGCTTAGTTTGTAAGTTCGTAATACTGTAGAACTCATTTTCATTTGTCACTTGTTGGAGTAATGATTCAACTACAAGGTACGAAAATTGACTTTAGGACACCCACGTTTGTATCCGTTGATGTCTTTGAACTGGTGTGTGTGTGTGAAAATTCAGGCTGTGAGCCATTTCCTTTGTTGTTTACATAGACAAGAAGGGGGTTTCACCTTTATTTTAGAAAACTTCAGTAAAGCTAGAAGGCATTTTTAGCAGCATGAAGGATCAAAAGTGGATTATTAGCTGGAAATTATGGAGCTGTCATAGCTCCCTCATCATTAAACTTACCACAGTGTTTCAGTGTTGTTTCAGACTACCCTCTCTTCCAGGAAAAATATCCAACAAATAGATTGATCACAAGGCCAACTTACATCCACAAAAGCTGAAGTCAATTAGTTAAGTGAACTTAAGATTATTGCAATCTGCAATCGGTGGAAAACATCACTAAGCCTGCGGCAGGGAAAAAATTATCTTGCATCAATTTACTGATTACTAAACTTGTTAAACTCCCAATTAAATGTAATTCCTGAAGATGTCTGGGATTTTAGGACATGTCTCTGTTCTCAATATCAGTCTCAAAGCAGAGATGACCTTCATATGAAAAAAATCTTTTCCCTGAAATCTTCTTTTCTTGGCTATAGAATATTAAAATATGGTTCCCGTGTTTTTTCAGTTTTCCAAAAATACAGCATCTTTCTTTACTACTCATTTGTATTGTACACAATGGGAATGTTTTAAGCATTTATTTGAAAACCTACTTGGTGGATAAGAGGTATTTGCCTTTCAAAAGGCAAATGACATATGTCTATTGTTTATAAAGGAAAAAAATAAGCAATCCCCTTTTCACAGCAATATTTGAAACATTAAAAAAGAAAGATTGTGACATTACTTATCACAGTCCCTTTTCTGGGGAAGTGGCATCACTCATGCTAGCAAGACATAAGAAGCCAGGTACATACACAGGTACGTGTTGCAGGGGAAGGACTGACAGATACTCAACTTTTTTTGCAACTCACACTTTCTTGTGGTAAAGAAAGTAGTAGCAGGTGTCTTTTCTTGCCAAGAACAAGATTTTTACGATTGCTACCCCCATCGGCATCAGAGAATGAAAGGACATAAAATTTTATCATCACATATTTTATTTTAAAAGGAAGACAACCCCTTTCCAATCTTTCTTAAAATGTGTCACCTGATTTTCCAGTCTTTTTAACACAAATGGCAAGAATATCTTCTTGATATAGCTACCAAGGTAACTACTCATACGACAATACCAAAGATTAAAGGGAATAGTTCACAGAAAGCATTAGAAGTAATGCACTTGGGTGTTCCAAGATGCTTTACTGAAACCTGAACATCCTTACTGAAAACTGAGTCTCTATTGAAAATTAAATTTATCTGTCTAAATACATTCAAAATGCATTAAACTCAGATCACTGCTGAATTTGTGTCTATGAATGTAATTCCTGTCTTGGAATATGTACACAAACAAAAACTCACAAGGGAGAATATTAAAGAAATAGAATTTTAGGATCCTGTGTATAGAGGTCTGTACTGGTTTTGGCTTGGGTAGAGTTAAATTTCTTCATAGTAGCTTGTAGCTACCCATAGTAGCACAGGGGCTATGTATTGGATTAGTGATGAAACCATTGATAACACAGGGATGTTTTAGTTATTGCTGAGCAGTGCTTACATGGAGTAAACCTTTTCTGTTTCTGAAGACTGCCCTGCCAGCAAGTCAGCTGGGGGTGTACAAGAAAAAGCAGTGCTTACATGGAGTAAACCTTTTCTGCTTCTCAAGACTGCCCTGCCAGCAAGTTGGCTGGGGGTGTACAAGAAAATGGGAGAGGACACAGCTGGGACGGCTGACTCCAACCCCAATGTCCCAAGGTGATATTCCATACCATATGATGTCATCTTCAGCAATAAAAGCTGGGGGAAGAAGAAGGAAGATGAACACATGCAGAGTTATGTCTTTTGTTTTCCCAAGTAAACACGACCACAGCAATAAAAGCTGGGGGAAGAAGAAGGAAAATGAAGACATGCAGAGTTATATAATTTGTTTTCCCAAGTAAGCATTACCATGAAGGAGCCCTGCTTCCCTGGGGATGGCTGAAAACCTGCCTGCCGATGGCAAGCAGCAAATAAATTCCCTATTTTGCTTTGCTTACCGATGGCAAGCAGCAAATAAATTCCCTATTTCGCTTTGCTTGCGTGCGCAGTTTACCTATTAAACTGTCTTTATTTAAAACCATGAGTTTTCTCACTTTTTGCCTTCCAATTTCCTTCCCCATTCCACTGTGGGGAGTGAGCAAGTGTCCATGTGGTGCTTAGCTCCCTACAGGGGTTAAACCATGACAAGCTCATAATGGGATGCTTATAAGGATCAGGTAGCCTAGAGGAAAGAATAAATGCCAAGTATCCTTATGAAAAATTGCATTTCATCTTTTCCAGGAATTCATGTCAAAAACAATGAAAAGGCAAGCATGAAAATTTCTCTCAGCTGATGGACAAAAGATAAGAGAGAAATGAGAGAACTGAAATATTGCCACTTGAGTAGTGTGCAAGAAGTGGCAGGCACAGGCAGCTCCGCAGACTGGAACATCATACCCTGCAGGAGCTGCAGTAGTAGCCAAATGCCCCAATCCTTCCTCAGATGTACCCTTCCACAACTTTCCCATCAGTAGTATATTCAATTAATGTTCTATGTGTATGCGTGTATTTTTTGTCTGTGCATAACATTTATTACACACATACACAACCACGCAAGATTTATGTCCACAGCTTTCCCACCAGTAGTATATTCAATTAATGTTCTATGTGTATGCGTGTATTTTTTGTCTGTGCATAGCATTTATTGCACACATACACGACCACGCAAGATTTATGCAGAATGCCTTTCACCCAGGCACCACAGAAGTGAGGAACTAGGAGCAAGGTAGGGTTGACTATGTTTTTTTAATCCTTGTGAGGGGTTGTAACTGAAGCAGAAGAGCAAGCAAATATTTTAAGGCAACTTGACACCTTTAAGGAAACTTTTTGCTAAGAAAAATTTCCATTTTCAAGGGTGTTTTTAGAAAATAAAGAGTAAAAAAATAAAGAAAATTTGTATAAAGGGAAGTTTTCCACATGAAAAAAATCTTTCTCTCAGCTGATGGACAAAAGATAAGAGAGAAATGAGAGAACTGAAATATTGCCACTTGAGTAGTGTGCAAGAAGTGGCAGGCACAGGCAGCTCCGCAGACTGGAACGTCATATCCTGCAGGAGCTGCAGTAGTAGCCAAATGCCCCAATCCTTCCTCAGATGTACCCTTCCACAACTTTCCCATCAGTAGTATATTCAATTAATGTTCTATGTGTATGCGTGTATTTTTTGTCTGTGCATAACATTTATTACACACATACACAACCACGCAAGATTTATGGCAGAATGCCTTTCACCCAGGCACCACAGAAGTGAGGAACTAGGAGCAAGGTAGGGTTGACTGTTTTTTTAATCCTTGTGAGGGGTTGTAACTGAAGCAGAAGAGCAAGCAAATATTTTAAGGCAACTTGACACCTTTAAGGAAACTTTTTGCTAAGAAAAATTTCCATTTTCAAGGGTGTTTTTAGAAAATAAAGAGTAAAAAAATAAAGAAAATTTGTATAAAGGGAAGTTTTCCACATGAAAAAAATCTTCCTATTATTACAGAAAATAACAAAAGTTGTGGGATCAAATTGTGCTCGTGTTCATGCTCATGGAAATAATACAAGAAAGCATTTGCTCTGCAGTTTCTACTTGGCATTGTAATTTATGACTACAAGCCCAGTTACTGAACATCAGTCATTAAGCTGGACAGGATAAATGGAGAAACCAACCAGTGATTAAGCAATATGGTAATTACACTTCATAAATGAAAAATGATCATCCCTTTAGAAAGAGCACACAAGGAGAGGAATTTTGCCATCCACTCTTGTCAATATTAGCTATAGTATAGTACTGTGTGGTTTAGTATAGCACAGTACAGCAGAGCTCTTTAGCAGAGCTAAAGAACATGAAAGATCTGTCTTCACATAAGAGAGAGACTGAGTAAATCAGAAAACAATATATGCCACATTGTTACTTAAGAACTAATAAAACAAAATTTAAAAAAAAAGGACACGATAAAAATCTAAATACCTTCCACAAAGTTCCAAAATAATTAGCCACCAAATGTGAAAGCTAATGTTTGGAGCTTATCTAAATAAATAAGATGCATTCCTTATAAATTTTATTTAGTTACTACTTTTTGCTTTCATGCCTGTTCC